TCACGTGAGCGGGCTTTGGGAGGACGGGATAGCTTATCCAGCGACTTGAGAGACCGGTGGCGCTGATCTGGTGTTGTTACAACTTGGTACAATCTCCTAGTGAATATGCGTGCTCTATTCACTACGTTTTTTCGTAGTACACGGTCTGTTTTATCCACTTTCTTCACGACTACGTCTCAACAACCATCACTATGCCGGATGGGTTGTTGTTTTTGCACTTTATGAAATTTTGTGTATTTTGTGTATTTTGTACTACCGGTGGCGATGCTCTTACAGTTAAGCAGATACATTTGCTTACTCTATACTGTCTTTCTGACTGTATTAATATTAAGACTATGTGATACTTGGACATGTTCGTGTTGAACCAGAAACCTATAATAATGAAGCGAACATTGCAAAGGGTAGAGTCTTTAGAGAAGCCTTGCTTGCTCACGAAAAGAAAGGACCATTCATCATATACTACGATGAAACCAACTTCAATTCTACTGTAAACGTGCACAAGGACGTTCCCGTATTGGCGAACGCGCTGTGTTCAATTTGCCGCCTTCAAAAGGGGTCAATTTACTTCAATGTGTGGTGTCTCCAGAAGTTGGACTGGTGCAGTGGGCTAAACGTCGTGGCAGCATTAAGATGGCTGTAAACGTTTCTTTGTGTACGACCTTTATGATACCGTAAAGGCTCTTGATGTGTATAAGGAGCGCTTTATGGGCACAACCATTGTTATCATATTGAAAAACGCTCCAGCTCACACCCAGACCGAGCGGCCGGTGATCGACAGAGACGACCTGGAACTCCTGCGCCTTGCGCCGCATTCACCTATGTATAACCCGATAGAGGGTAGCTGTAGTTAGACCGGTAGCTATATGTGTCATCTAACTCTATTGTGCGTTGTAGAGGCTGCTTTAGCGAATTGGATTCAAAATTTAAGGCGTATCTGGCTATGAATACGCATGAAATGATAAACCTGCCGTATGGAGAGATGACAGAGCGCTGTATATGCATGCTGAAACGAGCTGTAGATCGCGGCATATCTTCCATAGACCTGCATTTGGTGAACAAGATGGCATGCCATTGTGCCCTCTCTGTTGCGGCTGCCATCTGATCAGAGCGCATGTCGTATGGTGCTTAATTGCTTTACACTAAATACCCGTTGGTTTGGACTAATTTAGAAATTTTTTTTTGAATTTGTTTTCAATTACGGGACATTCGGTTTTGGTTTACATTCCTGCGAGCTTGGAGTGGCATATGTGTAGATAACGATGCCCAGTCGAGTGTTGTTCCGTGTGTCTTAAAGAGAAACCCTCCTTTCCTTCACACAACACCTTCACAATTCGTCTATCTGCAACGCGAACGAGACATGCATCACTCCATCAGTCCCAATTTGGGACCCCAAACGTTGTAGTGAGCTTTTGAACTAATCGAAAATTTTCCGTCAGCAGCCCTAAATCGAATGGATCAAATGTTACACTCATTTTTCGGGTTTATACACACGTCACCATGAATCACAAACCGTTCTCAAGTCTGAGTTGTGTACTTTTGGTTACTAATCGAAACGGAGCCAACAAATACTACCTCTGGTTGGGATTAATGGATAGAATTCCATACTATAGGCAAGAGGCTAATGGCATCCTATGCTACATGGTAAAACGGATACAATCGATTTGGACAGGTACTATCTATTCTAGAAGATTAAAAAGAGCAGACTCGTACGGCCAGCCTCAGACAGCACACACTTCGCACTATCATACAACTGCTGGTCACACTGCAGGACTCGCGACAGCATGTTCTTCTTTCGTAGCTTCTCGTTGCCGATGTGAAGAAACGGATACCTGTTGCCGTTCTTCTCACGTAGAATTCTCAGCATGCAGCTCTGCAGAGTTAGGAATATATTGTCTAGTGTTTCTCGCACTCGTGGTCTCGAAAGCATCTTTAACTGCAACAATGATGTTGTCAATCCCGTGGATGGGTATACGGTTCTGAGAACTCTAAATCTCATGGAAGGGGCCAACATCCAAACAGTTGAGGTCAGGCGAATTGGCGGGTTGGCAGTGCAATTGAATGCACCACCCTCCTTCCGTACCCTCTGCAACAACGCCGGGGTCGTCAGGGGCTACATGAGGCTTGGCGTTGTCCTGCTGAATCAGGACGGGGTGGCATCTGCACCACGTGACCATTGACTTTTAATAGACGGGATGACAAAGTCGAGTAGGAACGCCTTGTACACAATGTGGTTGCCAATTTCAATATTTCAGGCACAACGGTATCTTTAGATCCGTTTTGATTAGCTCACTGAGCAATGTATTCCTCCGCCCAGGATACGGCCCCAGCTTTCCGTTCAATTTACACTTACAATGTAGGTCGCATCTAATCATAACAAAATTATAATTAAACGTTAGCGACATTTAAAAAGTAATATATTTTGAAATTTGACAGATTTTACCGAGGGGTTGCGACAGCAGCAAAGAACATTGTCTTAGGAATGAAGAATTTGTTCTAGCGAGTCCTGGTTTCTTTTACCGAAACCAATAGATAGCTGTGTTTATCTTTTTGTCGTCGTAAACCAATTATCGACGACATTGACAACATTCCCCATGCCCTTGAACTTAAGCGTTGAATCGTCGATATAAGAGAGCACATGCTCAACTCGGTCTAACTTGTTTTTTCGGTCAGGGTGGGCTTGATGCGCGCTGTCATCCTTGCATCGCTCCCTCAGCCACTAGCGCCCGAACCAGGTACCGAGAAACACCTCCAAGCTCGGCCGCACGTCGTTCAACCGACCTCTCTTCAGTGGGGAAAAGCTTCAGCTTCTCAATGATTTTAGTGCGATCCTTACGCTTTTGACCTGAGTATTGTTTGATGCGACTTTGCCATACCCCTCCTACTACTCCTGACGCAATACTAAGACAGTAACGAGACCAAACCTTTCATAGCTGAACCGGTTCGCTCGCAATCCCAAGCGACCGCGGATTTGGCGCTACGCGGCAGTTCTCCGTGGGCACTTAGCTACACAAATTCATCAATGATACAGTGGCGTTGTAGGTCACTTAGGTTGGCCAGTCGAGTAGAAAGCAGGCTAATTTTGTTGTTTTCTGGGCGAGAGGTTAGCAAATGACAGAGGAGGATCGGGTCGCATCGAGACTCATAGGTCCACGTCTAACCAATTTTCAGATGCAACCAAATAACCATCCAATAGCTAGCGTTTCCGTGATTCCTGTTATCCAATTAGCGATTGATTATGAGTTTTAGAGCCGTTGCTCTGATTACTTTTGTTTTAGATGTATCCATCATTTCCGATCAGAGGTAGTAAAACATCACATCACTATTGTGTATCGTTGAAAATGGATCAATAAACGCGTCAAGCTCTCGAGAATAACGGTTTGGAGCTGCATTTCCTCTTACTAAAATTCTTCTTCGTTTATTACTACCAGGTCACTATCGATGAAAAATCCTATTTGGCCTGGTGTCGTATACGAGTAAGATTTTGACGTTTACGTGTCGCGCCACATTACGCATCAAATTTATATAATCGATGATGAATCGTACATGTTTAACCCGCAAATGTTGCAACGACAATATGTAGATTCCTATCTGGACCGAAACCCTCTACATTGGAGAGTCTCCAACATTTTCCAAGCCCTTGATTAACAACATTGGACTTCCTTTTATGCTGCACGTTCATCTAGCTTCACAGCTTCCACGCCACCTTTTTGGGGGCACTTGATGCCCGACAAGGTAAAACTGAACCTCAACTTTCTAAAATCAGTTTTAGAATAGCTCATCTCTTGGATCCAGGATTTCAATGCCATCCTGATACGTGAACAAGAGCGTAGCACGGCGGATATCAACTAAATTTATCGTGAGGAACCTTACTAGCAGCAGTATCAGGAGATTGACAAATCAGTGAAATTGTGAATCGGAAGATAGAATATAGGATCATGCTTTGATTACTCTGAAATCCAATCATATTAATCATCGATGCTGTGAATGCAGCGCATATATTTGAGATGCACGTACTTCAGTAACCGAATACACTTCATTTTGTCATTTGTCTCCGACAGCCAACTCAGCATCAGCACACTCAGTATCAAAACAAATGCGTTTATGTTAAGTCGGGTTGGTGATCACCCTCGCTCTAGTTGGAATAAACAACAAAGTTGCTGCTGTGGGCAACAACCAAATTGACTCCACCAACGGTATGAATACCAGCAATTTGGTGTCCTTCGCGAATACTACACCCAATAAGATGAGAGATTATCTGGTCTGAAATGGGAAGGGACGCTATTGGTGAACTTACCTACATCGCTCCTGATGATAAGCTCGATGTATTTCTGAATAATCTTAATAATGGTGCTGCCGAGCGCTCCGAGCGTCTCGAGGGACCATCGCAAATTTCTGAGCAACGTAGATCCCTCGCGGGGTGTAAAACTATCGAGGAATTGCATTGGATTGAAAATGAACTCAGAGGTTCGCGAAACCCGACACTTGGAACAGCAAGGTTGAGGTAAACCAACCCCACGACTCGGTGTCCCAACTGAGCTAAAGCTCAGCTATACCTGAAAGGTACACATTTCAGTTTAGTGATGCAGAGCAGGTAAGTGGAGAATATTGCGCTAACGCATATAATATATATATATATATATATTATATATATATTATTGCGCTAACGAACAACCGTTGAGATCCAGTGCAACTCAAATACACGGCAAGCGAAAACGAAAATAAGGTCGGGTAGAGTTCGACACTTACAAAACCTGCCGATTTTAGATTGTATGCAGCATTCCTCGACAACGACACTGGGGTGCACAACCTGGGATCGATAAAGTATAATGGCGGAGGCACCACTTACGACATGATATACTCCACATTTACGAAACTGATGAAATAAGGAATCCCAACATGCGGCCCGATGGCACGAGTCAGGGGTTCGCCTTCCAAAATCTCCTAGAGATGTATACACATCATAACAACGCAAAGGGTGGTATGGTGAAATGAAAAAAGAGATGGAGGCCATGGAGAAGAAGGATGTGTTAGAACTTGTTCTCGAAGAGGAAGTACCTCGAGGCAAGAAAACCCTGCAAACAATGCGGAGATATCAGCTGGAAACCGACTTACTTGAATACATTATGCAATTTCGCGCTCGTCTCGTGGCATCGGGAAACATGCAGAAAGGAGTGATTGACTTCACCGATACTTTCTCACCGGGGTCAGAATGGCCGCTCTGAGACTTTTCCTAGCTTTGTGTATGATTTTTAAACTGACACCGCACCAATGTCACGTGAACACCGCCTATTTAAACGCCCTACTCAAGATTATTCACTACATCAAGAACACTCGTGGATTTCCATGTCCGAATGGTATAGTGTGGGAGGTAAAACGAGCGCTTTACAGGCTTCACCAATCTGGACGTGAATGGAATGAATTCTTCACGAAGTGGATGGAACATGAAGGTTTCACTCAGTGCACGACTGAACCATGCCTATACGTGTATTGCAATAATTACGTTATGACGATTTTGTTGATTACGTAGATGGCATCATCTTAGTGTCCAATGTGGAATATTTCAAGATAAATGTGTTCCAGAGCATGATCGATCATTTGGAATTTAAGACATAGGCGGGCGACTTACACGTTTTCCTCTGTGTATAAATCGAACGGAAAGAAGAAGGAATAAAACTCCATCAGACTCAATATGCACAGAAGATTCTGGAGAGATTTGGGTTGAAGAATGTTCAAGGATGCCGTACACCCATGGAGACTTCTATAAAGCTTTGAGCAGCTACAGCAGAGGATAATACTGACGTTTCATTTGTCAACAGGACCGCAGTTGGGAGTTTAATGTACCTCGCCATGACGGGCCAACGGAAGCGCCCGAATCGGGTCATTTCTAGGTCCAGTCAAACGATGGTTCATAGCGGATTGGAGACCATATGAGGTGGAACGTCAGAACCGTCACGGTGTCGCCATGTGCTTTGTAAATTACTGCATAATTAAGCCGATGAAGTTGGTCGGCGCTATTTCGTTATTGCACGTCGTAAATTGCTCAAAACAAGAGTAGAACGAGAAGTAGAACTAATATTTAGAATAGACGCGACAACCTTAGTTGACACTAGAGCATTACTATGTCAAAATATATACATTCGCACATGCTTGAGCTACTTGAGTTAAAATGCCTGTACTACCACTACTGTATTTCTGTAAGCATATTTCTGCTGTCATGATTAAGCAGGTGGATTTGTACTGAACATATATAGTAGTAGTTGCGCTATCAATAACTTTTGAGATGCAAGCATTTGAGAGCATACCGCTCCGTTTCGTTTGGCACCACAACGTTACGAACCGACCAACTACTTCTTTAAACTAAACAACTCCAATCCAGCTACGTACTCGTAATCGTGTGGCTCGGTCTTTGCAAGCCAGGTCAAGACCTACAATCAGCAGCGGCGGCATGTAGCTCACAACAACGGTAAATATTAGGTTGTTCTATAGTACAAACGAGTAAACTATGGCACTAACATGAAATGTTGCTAGATTCGCAATTTTATCAATCAGTAAGTCTCAGACAATTTACCACAGACTGGTGTCAACGTGGAACCACCTACACCGTTGCGTCGAAACGCGTCCTTTTCAATTGAGCTTGTATTAAATCCGACGGATAGTAATTTCGAGACGGGGGAGGTAGTTACCAGTTTGCCTATGGATACAGCAGTACCAACCGAGACTGGTGATTTGGGCGCAGATTACGAATTTGGATTTCCTGAAAATAATTCTCTACCAGACAGCGAGACAACAGTGATGGGACCCACGAACCGTGGCTCCGAGTGTGCTGAACCGGACTCTCGACGAGTTAAAACTGAAAAACTAGGAAATGGATCGGAGGTTACAGGTACACCGAAAAGGTAAAAATCAACGAAAAGGTGTATTATCGTTGTAGTCATTATCGAAGGCAAAGGTAAAGGACGCTGTGCGTTTCTAGTACATTTCGAAATGTACACCAAATTTGTTCCACACTCTTGTGGCCGGTCCGCTTTATCTCAAGGTGCAGACTCTAATGTGCGAAATCGTGATGTCTACATAACAGAAGCGATACAAAAGGAGATGGATCGCTTAGCAATTTCAACATCGGCAAATCGTAATGAAATATGGGATACGATTCGCACCCAGGTTTAGGGAAACGTGGACACCAAATTGTAGACTAATGGTTTGGTGATGGAAGAGGTTAAACGCCGTGCATATCGCACAAGACAGAGGTTTTTGGTGTATCTGCATAAGGACAAATGGAGGTTTCACCCTGGTCACAGGTTTTAAATGACGACGGAACACCATCTACAGTTAATTTCCTGCTATTCCATTATTCCTATTTCGACAAAAATCTAAAACACGTCAGAGATTGATTGGATGGGCTCACCCTGTACGGCTGATTTTTTTAAAAACAAAACAAGTCTGATGTATTTGTCGATGGTACGTTCCGATAGATGCCACCAAAATCCAAACAATGCATCATTTTCACTACGTACGACGGACCAACTCGATCTTTTTATCTGGCTGCATCCGTGCTGTGCACTTCTAAAAATACGATACATGCTTCCATGCTATGCACCTTCTTCTAGGCAAGACTGAATACGCAATGGATCCGGAATACATGTATTGCGATTTTGAAGCTGAAATGCTTTGTGCGATAAAGACCATTTTCCCAACTCAACCGCAGTGGGGTGTCTATTTCATTTCAAGCAGGCATTCACGAGCAAAATGCGAAAATACGGTATCACACCCGCCGCCTTGCTCCACGACATGTTGCTGGCTTGGACGCCAATTGGTCTCTATGCCGATGTATTTAACGAAATCCCTAATCCAGAATGCAGCATTGCGATGCAAAGTGAAGTTTGGTATATACTAACTGTGATTCCACAAGATAAAATAACAAGACCAGGTATGAAATGGATGAAGGCTAGGATTGGAGCAGAGTGTGTTTTACGTAATATCACGATTTCTCACATGAAATGGTCTCGGTTTTGGGAGTATTTCACTAGTACATGGATTACTACGTTTGCACCTCGATTGTAGGACGTGGCCCCAATTTCTCCGACTGTCATCAGCAGAATCAATAACCCGCTTGAGTGTTTAACCGGAAGATGAACGGAGCATTCCCAAAGCCGCACCCGAAGTTAACAGACTTTGTGGTTGGACTTGAAAAATTAACCAGACGTTATTTCCACCTCAAACAAGATATCGAAATTGGAAGAGCGGTTGCACCCGTACGACTACTGATACCTTTGCCAAAACCGGTTTTGCTCAAAAGACTTGATTTCAGTTCGGATAGTGAAATTGACCATGATTCTTAAGATTCAAGCGAAGAAGAAAGTGATCTAGTGCTACGCGCTAATCCAAGGTTCAATTTTGCACGTAGGCAAGAGGGGGACGGATTGACCTTACCTCATTCCTTTCGTGAAGTTCAACAAACAACCTCCTTCTATGAAGGTTTATATTGAGAGGCTCATATATGAAAATTCAAATTTCAAATATACGGCAAATGCATAGTTGACAACATTTAGTTACTGGAAATGTGATGCTGTGCTGATTCCAAAGAAAATGTTGGACTCTTCCAATATCGGAGCGTCGAAATTAACATGTTCACTATCGATCTGAACTTGATGTAGATCGCGTAATTCATCGAGGAATTTTGCTTTGGCTTTATGGATTCTTGTCTTCGAATACTCCTCGCAAGGAGGGTCGTCAGTTGGCTCTGGTGCAAATTTTGTAGCTCCTTAAACCGATGAAAATACATCTGTGAGGCTACTGCAAACTGCAACGAAAACATCTTTAGCCGAAGGAGAATGAGCTGAATGGGCAAGGAGATTGGTACTACGCACACTCTCAATTGTAGTGGTTGAAGCGCCACCTAAGCCGCCTTGATTGTATTCAGCATGGATACGCAATTGTTTTTCCTTGCATGTTACTTCGTGAAAGTTCGTACACGCTCTCGTCATTGCAGCAACCTTCTGTCGAAACGGTGAGTATTTTTCACCTGATAATGTTGAAGATTCGTTTAGTTTAGCCGTCGCTGTTTTGCTTGTCCTTCGTCCACGACTAGTGCGTTCGTCTATTATACCATTTGTACCAGTTGGAAACGTACCGTCTGGAGTATCAAGCATGAGCGCGTTTCGTCTGGCTTCTGGAAGAAAGTGCTTGACGTAGTCGTATTCCGTCGCGACTACGTAACCATTTGGAATCAGATTCCACTTTGTTTCGCCCTGCAATTTACCCCGTTTAGATGCATAGCCTTTTGCGTACGGGTTACCATACTGTTGCGCATATATCCAGACAGCCGCATGAGCCCTCATGGTTCCTGCAGGGCCCCAACTCGAATGTGGTAAGAAGATCGTCAAAATACAGGCTAATTTTAATATTGGGTCAGAACATACTTGTGTAAAATTGAATATGTCCGTTAATAGTATCATACGTTACATAAAAATGAAGTGTATATGTATTTGAAGGCTGCATAATTATGCCATTTCTAGTTTAATTATGGTGTTTCCGGCGTAATACCACTTCCTTCGGCATAATAATACTCAAACCACTTTACCTAGCGTAATTATGCCTGTTTCTGCTTAACTAAACGGAGTAATCCCGCCAATTTTGGCATAATACTGCTAAAACCAATACACTTGACCTAATTATGCTAGTTGGGGTTTAGCCACCCGAGCTAACGTTGGGTCTGTAAATTAGTTAGCCCTTCCAAGGGCTAACTAATTTCGCCGCTCTCGTAATTGTGAGCCACTATTGCTTCGTCGCTCTCCTAATGTAGACCTACAAAGCCCCGTCGCAGTATAGTAGATGTGTGGTTATATGAGCACACGTGCAAGTGGTACAGTGGTACTATTCTGTATGACCTTCACGCTATCTCCGGTCAAGCCACACACAAGATTTGTCGTCGCTGATCCGCCGGTCAAACAACACAGCAGAACCAGCGCCAACGCGTTGAAGCTATGTTCCATTAGTATTACTCTACGATGTATTCTTTCTGTCTTTATATATCAGCGATAATTTATGAGACACCACGATGCTTTATTCAAGTATGAAATTATTTGTCAAAAATATTTACTCATTTAGTGATTGTTCGAATGTCACGTCGTTGGTTACACCGCCAGTGTCTAAAGTAGCGTCCAGTAGGACTGACAATCGAGGGGAGGGCGACGGATGCCCTATGGAGAGCTTTCCGCGATCGAGGTATAATCGAAGTTGGCGATATGATGCTACATACTGGAATGGTTTTTCGAGTTCCCCCTGGCCATATCAATAGCGAAGAAGTCCGAAGGATTTTTCCAAATTTTCGCGACCACCCTACCGTTAGAGCCCAATTACCTGACCAACAACAGGTTACAAACGTACAACCGCCAATGGATGAGCAACTTGAACCTGCATCACACAAAACCCTCTTGAAAACCAACAACAAGAACTTTTTCAATACCCCGTATTTGATCCGGATGTGGTATCTGATGACGAAGATGATACGCCCGAAGCATCCGGTTTAAATAACCCTGAAATTGATCCTTGTAGAACATATAAGTATATTCGTATTATTTGGTGGTTGTATGGTAATGATGGAGCTTTATGTG